CTCTAGCTTTTCCCATTCTATTGTTTTCCTCTATTTGTTTGCAGTGATCACTGAGGAAGGCTTTCTTATCTCTCCTTGCTATTCTTTGGAACTCTGCATTCAAATGGGTATATCTTTCCTTTTCTCCTTTGCCTTTGGCTTCCTTTTCACAGCTATTTGTAAGGCCTCCTCAGACAGCCATTTTGCTTTTTTGCATTTGTTTTTCTTGGAGATGGTCTTGATCCCTGCCTCCTCTACAATGTCATGAACCCCCATTCATAGTTCATCAGACACTCTGTCTGATCTGGTCTGTCAGATCTAGTCCCTTAAATCTATTTTTCACTTCCATTGTATAATCATAAGAGATTTGATCTCGATCATACCTGAAAGGTCTAGTGGTTTTCCCCATTTCTTCAATTTATCTCTGGATTTGGCAATAAGGAGTTCATGATCTGAGCCCCAGTCGGCTCCCAGTCTTGTTTTTGCTGACTGTATAGAGCTTCTCTATCTTTGGCTGCAAAGAATATAATCAGTCTGATTTTGGTGTTGGCCGTCTGGTGATGTCCGTATGTAGAGTCTTCTCTTATGTTGGAAGAGGATGTTTGCTATGACCAGTGCATTCCCTTCACAAAACTCTGTTAGCCTTTGCCCTGCTTCATTCTGTACTCAAGCCCAAATTTGCCTGTCACTCCAGGTGTTTCTTGACTTCCTACTTTTATATTCCAGTCCTCTATAATGAAAAGGACATCTTTCATGGGTGTTAGTTCTAAAAGGTCTTGTAGGTCTTCATAGAACCATTCAACTTCAGCTTTTTCAGCATAACTGGTCGGGACATAGACTTGGATTACCGTGACATTGAATGGTTTGCCTTGGAAATGAACAGAGATCATTCTGTCATTTTTGAGATTGCATCCAAGTATTGTATTTCAGACTCTTTTGTTGACTATGATGGCTATTCCATTTCTTCTAAGGAATTCTTGCCCACAGTAGTAGATATAATGGTCATCTGAGTTAAATTCACCCATTCCCGTCCATCTTAGTTTGCTGATTCCTAAAATGTCAACTTTCACTCTTGCCATCTCCTGTTTGACCACTTCCAATTTGCCTTGATCCATGGACCTAACATTCCAGGTTTCTATGCAATATTGCTCTTTACAGCATCGCACCTTGCTTCTGTCACCACTCACATCCACAACTGGGTGGTGTTTTTGCTTTGGCTCCATCCACAGTCTTGTCTAACTCAGTGAAACTAAGCTATGCAGTGTAGGGCCACCCAAGACGGATGGGTCATGGTGGAGAGGTCTAACACAATGTGGTCCACTGGAGAAGGGAATAGCAAACCATTTCAGAATTCTTGCCTTGAGAACTCCATGAACAGTATGAAAAGGCAAAAAGATAGGACACTGAAAGATGAACTCCCCAGGTCGGTAGGTACCCAGTATGCTACAGTCAGTCCATGGGGTTGCAGAGAGTCCATGGAGGAATACTAAGAAATCTAATTTAAAAGAGTCAGACATGATTGAGCATACACACAGGTATTTAAAATCACATACTATCTAAATATTTCTGTTAACCTAGAAATAATCTTGTTTCTTTCCCACTTAATAAGTTAATTCTCACTCTCCACTTGTCTCATCAATCCCTTTTTGCATCAGTGTCACTGGCCATGGAAGGACAGCAGCGAGGCCAAGCACTTTCTGAATCCATGCATGATGCAGTCTTTGAATCCACTTCTCATGCCATCACTAGAAATTTATACCAAATTCCAAGTATTTATGTAACATCTGGATGTTCCATGTTTTCATGCACTGTATGGGCTTTCCTGGGGGCTCAGATGGTAAAGAATCTGCCTGCAGTGCAGAAGACATGGGTTTAATCCCTGGGTCAGGAGGATCCCCTGGAGAAGGAAATGGCAACCCACTCCAGTATTCTTGCCTGGAGAATCCCATGGACAGAGGAGCCTGGTGGACTCCAGTCCATGGGGTCACAGAGTCAGACCTGACTGAGAGACTAACACTTAGCACTTTCATGTAGGCATAAACATTCAATATCTCCATGATAGAGCCTCCCACCATATTCCTTTTTGATGTAATCTTCAGGAAGCCCATTTACAATGACCGCTGCAACTGTGAGGTCATTGCTCTAAGACTAATTGTTGAATCTGAGTTACACTTCAGATTATGGCTAGATTTACTTCCAACTTGGGAAGATTCCCCTGGAGAAGGAAATGGCAACCCATTCCAGTATCCTTGCCTGGAAAATCTCATGGACAGAGGAGCCTGGTAGGCTGCAGTCCATGGGGGTCACAAAGACTTGGACACAACTCAGTGACTAACACACGTACATAATATTTTATAGACTTGTGTTGTTGCTGTTTTTTTCTCTAACCACACCTCCTGGCTTGTAGGATCTTACTTCCTCCACCAGGGATCAAACCCAGGTGCCTTGAAATGGAAACACAGTGTCCTAACCACTGGACAATCAGGGAGTTTGAGTTAAACGTCTTTGACTTTTTTTTTTTTAACCAGTTCCGTCAGGTAATCTCTACAGTCATCTAAAATTACTGTTGCTTGAATTTATTGCTTCCCCAAATGGTCCTATATTATTAAAATTCTTTAGTTAAGTCCATAACCTATAATATGAGAGGGTGTTTTATACAAAATATAATGTGACTGCCTTTTTTAAAGTCAGTTTCAGGGGGAAATAGCTCCTTATATATTTTTGGTGTGGAAAGTATAGATATTAAATCTTTTCAAAATATCTTTAACAAAGGATAGATATAAAGATGGGTGTAGGAAGGGGTGTCTCATAAGACCCTGAAGGTGACACACAGACTCCTAAAAGAACCCATATTATTTTGTTCTTGGCAAAACATTTGCTGCACATTCCATAGAGGTTGAACCTTCCTCTGTTTTGTCAGGCACATGAGAAAAAGAAATCTATTAAAGTGGAGAAGGACTTTAATATTCAGCCAAACCTGTTACATCCGGAGTTCCCAGGTTTTTTGGCACCAGGGACCAGTTTCGTGGAAGACAGTTTCTTCCCCCAGACTGAGGGTGGGGGATGATTCGGGGATGATTCAAGAGCACTACATTTATTGTACACTTGATTTCTATTATTACATCACCTCCACCTCAGATCATCAGGCATTATTAGGACCTAGAGGTTGGGGAACCCATGCATTACAGCATGAGATGCCAGAAATCAAAGTTGTTATTTTCTACAAGAATATCATTAAGTACTCTTTATTCCTTATAAATGAAGTCCAGCCAGTGTTTTAGACATGTATATCACTTTTAACCCCACAACCAACCAAGTGTTCAATCCACATCTGTAGTTCACGTTTTCTGCCTCTTTTTTTCTAGATCAGTTAAGAAACAGCTACCAGATCGGCTACGACGGCTCCCTTCGCATCATCTACGCCAGCGGTCTGGACTCACACTACCAGACCGAGCCCCACGTTCTGGCCGGCACCGCTAACCCAACAGTTGCCAAAAGAAACATGACTCTGCCTGGCGAAAATGGTCAGAATTTGGTGGAATGGAGATTCCGGAAAGAGCAGGCTCAAGGCAAAGTCAATGTCTTTGGTCGAAAGCTCAGGGTAAGTCAGCCTCAGGGGTGGTGATGGCCGGCCGGTCGTCCGCATCATTCAATGGCCTGTCCACGAGGGCGGGCCTGGGACTCACCTGCTCATGCTCAGGGGAGCACCTTACCTTAGAGCATGACTTACAGCCGGCCCTCAAGCCATCACATTGCTCATAGTAAGAGCCGACAAGTTGAGAAAAGGGTTCTCTCAATATAGCTTTGATTAAAAATCCATTCTTTCCTAGGAAATGAGGATTTTGCATGTAAAATGTGTGAGTCACTCAGTCGTGTCCAACTCTTTGTGACCTGATGAACTGTAGCCCACCAGGCTCCTCTGTCCATGAGATTCTCTAGCAAGAATACTGGAGTGGGTCATCATTTCCTTCTCCAGGGGATCTCCCAACTCAGGGATTAAATTTGGTCTCCTGCATTGCAGGCAAATTCTTTACCATCTGAGCCAGCAGGGAAGATTTTGCATGTAGGACAATCCCAAATAGCCTGGATGACAACTGATTCTTGTTTTACTAATAGTACTTTAACAATCTTATGCTTTTCCTTCACCCACTCAGGAGAGGTGACTTCGTAATGGCATAGGGATGAGTAAGCATTGGCTGAAACATTGCATGTATTAAAAATCCTAAATATGTATATTGAAAGACATGGGCTGGTCTTTGAAAGATGGAGTCTGCCTTTGCATTCTCAATATTTTTAAAGTACAGTGTGGGCTTGGGACTTCTCTAGTGGTATAATGGTTGGGAATTTGCCTTCCAATGCAGGGGATGTGGGTTCTATCCCTGGTCAGAAGGCTAAAATCCCACATGCCTCACAGCCAAAAAAAACAAAACATAAAAACAGAAGCAGCATTGTAACAAAACTTCAACAGGCTTTAAAAATGGTCCACATCCAAAAAAAAAAGCATAATGTGGGCACACAGGAGGTAACCAATGTCAGAACCTACCTCCTCGCTATTGATGAAAAACCCAGACTTACCTTTTTTTTTTTAGTTTATTTATTTTTGACTGTGCTGGATCATTGCTGCTGAGCAGGCTTTTCTCTGTCGAAGCGCACGGACTTCCCCGTGGTGGCTTTTCTTGTTGCGGAGCACAGGCTCTACGGCGTCCAGGCTTTAGTAGTGACGGCATATGGGCTCAGTAGTTGCGGTGCACAGGTTTAGTTGCTCCGTGACATGTGGGATCTTCCCGGATTAGGGATCGAACTCATGTCCCCTGCATTGGCAAGCGCATTCATAACCATACAGCCACCAGGGAAGTCCCAGGATTACCTTATTTCTACGAGACACACGATGACATTGCTGATTGCTAGTGTAAACTGATCTTTGCAGAATGTTCTCTGTGTTGCCTTGTTAGGTGTTTTTATTCCTCCTTTTCATGCTGTGGGCCAGATACAACTAGAAAGCAAGCTGTGATTTATGACAGCTGTTTAGTAAAGACAACATAGATTAAGGACTAAAACACAGGCTACAAGGAACCCCCTTCAGGCCACTATAAACTGAACCTGCTTCATTCTTTCTATTAGTTAGCAGATTTTCGTTTATCAGATAAATGCAGATAACCATTCCTAAAATTATTTCCCTTGCCTTTAAAAAAAAAAAGTCACTCAAAATCAAGGAGAGAGAAGAAAACATGTAACTGGCTAACATTATTCACCAGGCCAATCCTTCACAGTTAAGAAACAGCTAATACATATTGGCTATTTCCAAGAAATAGAAATGAAGTAGAAAAAAGAATCAGTGATCAGATACAGGCCATTCAACTCACAGGTTATATTCCAGTTCCACTTCCATTGCAAGGCAGGGGTTTGGGACTCTAAATACATAATCTTCTGGAACCAAAGCTGTGTTCCTGTCTTACCATCCCCCAGATGCCCCAGCCCCAGGGCCCTAGACCCGGAGCTCTGATGCACAGAAGCTGGGGAGGCTCAAGGGGGGTTATCCTGAGAGAGAGGCAAGAAGACAAAACAACAGATTATCAGAAAGAAGAACAAGATTAGCAGGAAGGTAACATGACTGAAGGCAAAAGGAGAAGGCAGAGGATGAGATGGTTAGATGGCATCCCTGACTCACTGGACATGACTTTGAGCAAACCCCGGGAGACAGTGGAGGACAGAGCCGCCCGGTGTGCTGCCGTCCATGGGGCCGCAGAGTTGGACGGGACTTGGTGACTGAACAGCCACAACAATATGATGGGCACGAAAGCCAGGCTCGTCTTAGGGTCACTTGCAGAGGGCCTAGGTCAGTGGCCGGAGGCAGCTTCAGCTCCAGCATTTTCTTCCACTGAAGCAAGGCCTCGAGCTGCCTGCATGTCTGTCTGCTGCCACCACTGACTACTGCCCCAGCCCTGCTTCCCTGGGCCACTGCACACTGGCAGCTAGGTCCCAAGCTTTGTCTTATTCGGCCATCCCTAAGGCCGGCGCGGCGTGCCTGTACACACACACACACACACATACACCCCTGCACTCAGACACAGACTTACTTCATCGAAAGACATAGAGGTCCTGCTCACATCTGTCCTCAAAAAGTATGAGTTCTAGATCAGGCTCCACTCCTTACTCTAATGATAAACTACACAGGAAAATTCTAACATCTAACAGACCTAACATCATTTTCCTTATCTATATGACTATCTGTATTATGATAGCAATAATATAATATCAGAATTTTCTAACATTGTGATGTAGACATGGTGTGTGTACATTATGTCCAATTCTTTGTGACCCCACGGACTGTAGCCCACCAAGCTCTTCTGTCCATGGGATTTCCCAGGCAAGAATACTGGAGTGGGTTGCCATTTCCTCCTCCAGGGATCTTCCCGACCCTGGAGATGGAACACATGTCCTGCATTGGCTGGTGGATTTTTTACCGCTGCTCCACCTGGGAAGCCCATAGACATGATATAGATTATCTATATTATGGATAAATATAATTGGCTGCCTTACCCTGCCACAGTCTCACACAACTGCTACAGAATCAAGTGAGATGATGTGAAAGTCCTTTGAAAACAAAAGGCATGATTACACATTCTGTAACCCTGACCCAGAGAATCTGAACCACAGGCACAAATAGTGGGCATATAGACAGACCCACACCACAGATGCACAGGAAAGAGCTGGTTAACGCGCTGGTGAGGGAAACACAGCTGCAAAAGAGGGAAAACCAGGGAAATGCTTTGTCCTGAAAGTGACCACATAACACGTGGCCCACTGTTCTTTGAGACAAGCTAGCCTAAGTGCATCCTTTTCTTTCCTTTGTAACACTGCTTTCCTACACAGAAAAAGAAATTAAGAGCAGAGGAAAAATCTGATTATAAGTCTCTGGTTCTCAGCCTGATTCTTAAGTGAACCCTCCTTTGGGGAGGAAGAGACCAGTGCACACAGGCATGAGTGTTAGTTTCTTTCTAAATAGCTGAACGACGGTGCCTCGGCAGGCCATTTCAGAAAATCCAGTATTTAAGAACAGCCTGTTCAGTCACACTGAAAGGAGACCTCCCTCGGATCCGTGTGATGGCTCATGTGCCAGGATCACAAGGGAGGGTTTCTTATTTTCAAGATAAGCTTGGATGTGCCAGCCATGCCTGGTCACCCCACCCCTCTGTGCATCCTAAGAGAGGAATTCCAGGGAGAAAGTGATGCTGTGAAAATCTGGTTGGAGGACCAGACCTGGAGTCTGCAGATTAGGGCACAGAGCGGAGGAAGGAGGGGATGACAGAGGGCCAGCAGGGCCTCTGAATCAGGAAGCAGAGTCAAAATCAGTCCAAAAATGCAACCCTGTGGACTGTAGCCCACCATGCTCCTCCGTCTATGGGATTCTCCAGACACAGCATTACTGGAGTGGTTGCCACGCCCTCCTTCAAGGGATCTTACTGACCCAGGGGTTAAACCCGCATCTCTTAAGTCTCCTGCATTGGCAGGCGGGTTCTTTACTACTTGGGCCGCTCGGGAGGGCGTCTCCTCTCTTACCTTTCCTTATCTTCTAGCAGAAAGTGCTTTTCTTTTTTTTTTTTAAGTTATGGGCCTGACCCATGGGTGAGCACTCAAATATTTATTCAATAAATGAAAGAATGAGAAAGAGCCAGGCTTAAAATATGGATTATGTTGTTGCCTTTAGGTCTTCCTGAGAGAGAAGCTGTAGGAATAGCACATCCTTGCCAATGTCTGGCTGCAGGAAGCAAAGCTATCTCTAGACTGAACAGATTACATGGATATAATAGATAGAACACTGGATGCAGTGGCTCTTTAAAAAAGAAAAGGCCAAAGAGTAGAAAAGGAAAAATTAAAAAAGAAATGAGCAACATGAAAAGCATTTTCTGTGAAACTCTATTAAGAGGAAAAGGGTTTGGATATATAGGAATAACCAGCAGAGGAAATCATGGAAAAACAGAACAAAGATTTGACAGTTCCTTAGCTTACTTCTTTGTACCTGCATATTTGTTTTTAAAAAAAGACGTGCATAATAGTTGCTTGTCTTTAATAGTCCTGATTTTTGTCAGTGGTTGAACTGGGAATCAGCCTTTGATCAATTCTCCAAAATTATATTGGCATCTGACTAATAAAAAGTCACCTTCTAAGGGGTTTCCCTGGTGGTCCAGTGGTTAAGACTTCACCTTTCAATGCAGGGGCTGTTGGTTTGATCCCTCCTTGGGAGGTAAGATCCTACATGCCTCCTGGCTAGAAAACCAAAACATAAATTAGAAACAATATTGTAACAAATTCAGTAGACCTTAAAAATGGTCCATGTCAAAAAAAAAAACAAGGTAGTCTAAACTTACCTAGAATTCTTATCCTTAAAGGAAAACATTTAGTGAACTGTTGGAAAAAGAAATTCTCAACACTTGAAAGCCAAAGCGGTATTTCGAGGCATACCTAGACATGATAGCTCCGAAGACTGTTATTTAACTCTTACTATGCCTGTCACGTGTATGTGACATCCTTGTGTCTCACTGTATAATCTGAGCAGCGGGGCCTGGAGGGGGCCATGCAGAGCAGTTAGCACTTCTGACCTGTGGAGGGGACGCAAAGCCATCTGCAGACAGTTGACGTTCTAACAAGGACACCAGGGAGGCGAGATACCATCACCCACGTGGCAGATACCTGCATGTGGTCTGATCATGCTCTGTGCTGTCAGACAGACAGACACTGTTTAACTCGTTTGAGCCTCAGTTTTTCAAGCCTTCCAGAGGGAACATAACTCCCTCCCTCCCGATATCAAAGGGACATTGTGATTAACTGCCACCACGAAAGACTTCACCTTTCAATGCAGGGGCTGTTGGTTTGATCCCTCCTTGGGAGGTAAGATCCTACATGCCTCCTGGCTAGAAAACCAAAACATAAATTAGAAACAATATTGTAACAAATTCAGTAGACCTTAAAAATGGTCCATGTCAAAAAAAAAAACAAGGTAGTCTAAACTTACCTAGAATTCTTATCCTTAAAGGAAAACATTTAGTGAACTGTTGGAAAAAGAAATTCTCAACACTTGAAAGCCAAAGCGGTATTTCGAGGCATACCTAGACATGATAGCTCCGAAGACTGTTATTTAACTCTTACTATGCCTGTCACGTGTATGTGACATCCTTGTGTCTCACTGTATAATCTGAGCAGCGGGGCCTGGAGGGGGCCATGCAGAGCAGTTAGCACTTCTGACCTGTGGAGGGGACGCAAAGCCATCTGCAGACAGTTGACGTTCTAACAAGAACACCAGGGAGGCGAGATACCATCACCCACGTGGCAGATACCTGCATGTGGTCTGATCATGCTCTGTGGTGTCAGACAGACAGACACTGTTTAACTTGTTTGAGCCTCAGTTTTTCAAGCCTTCCAGAGGGAACATAACTCCCTCCCTCCCGATATCAAAGGGACATTGTGATTAACTGCCACCACGCTGGACCTGATCTTTGAAAATGGAGATGTTTCTATGCTTAGCTCAAAGAAACACTGTACATCACAAAGGAGTTCATGGTGGCCTCTTACCTAGTCACATTTGGATTCACTTTCATGTAACTGAAGGTATTTTAACAACTACATAGGAGGTTTTTCATCATAGGTGAAGTGTATACGATGTAACAATGTTTTTTAATGTTATTTATTAAAAGGCCTCTGGGGCATGGAACAATGCTAGCCCTTTATGACTGTCAAAACAAGTTTGCAGAATTGCCACGATTCATACAGGTATAGTTAAGTGGGATTGTGTCCCTGATGAAAATATCCCTTGACTTCTGCACTGTGTCTGCAACAGCCAAAGGAGCACATTAGGGCCTTGGTGGAAGGGGCGGAGATCTCTATTTGTCTAATAGTTAGTGATGCTGAGCATCTTTTCATGAGGCTCTTGACTATCTGTGTGTCTTCTTTGGAGAGACGTCTATTTAGGTCTTTCACCCATTTTTTTTTTTTTTTTGATTGGGTTGTTTGCTTTTTTTGACATCGAACACCATAAGCTGTTTGTATATTTTGGAGATTAATCCTTTGTCTGTTGTTAGTATCTTCTGAAAGGTTACATATTGAATAACAGTGGTTGGTTGTCTGGAAATAGTAAGAACAGTAAAAACTTTGGCTTGTGTTGGAATGTGGAGAAAAACAGCCACATTCTAATTCTTTCCTCATTTCTTCAGTTGGAGGACCCAAGAAAGGCATTTGTCAGGATAGGAGGAAAATGTTAAATGCTTTCCAGATGTTTGGTCTCCTGGTGTTTCGAGGTGTTTCCATTTGTGATGTGTTCGGTGTGGTGGCTCATAGGACGGCAGTGGTAGACCTTCTGGACGCTTCAGTGTGTGGCGCAGTCATAGTCCCAAACCAGGGAGACGGATCGGAAGCCCAGTAGCGGGGTGCAGGCCTGCAAAGAAGGGGTCCCAGACCTGTCTTTTGGCCCTTCTTCTATCGCTAGTCCAATGGTCCTACCAGATCTGCAGGCAGATGTTCTGTTATGCTCTCTACAGAGGAAACACTGTGGAGACAGGGAGGAATCAGGAAGGCGATAAAGATCCGAGATACAGATGAAGATGAATGCAAGCCAAACACAAAACAGTGGGCAGGGCCGTGGGCCACGCTGTCCACAGACACTCCCTCCACAGGCGGTCTCGCTTGGCCATTCGCAGCCTGGAATAACCCTGAGGAAGGGCAAAGGAGGGCAAACCTAAACACTCTGGGGCTCATGTTTCCCTCTTTAATCACCATGTGAGAAACACAAGAGCCCTCAGAAGCCATTTAAATTGTGGAAAGCCGCTTCTTCAGGCATCACCTGTGTGCTCAGTCATGTCCAACCCTCCGCGATCCCATGGACTGTAGCCCGCCAGGCTCCTCTGTCCATGGGATTCTCCAGGCAAGAGTACTGGAGTGGGTCGCATACCCTCCTCCAGGGTATCTTCCCACCCAGGGATCAAACCCCAGTCCCCCTCATTGCAGGCAGATTCTTTACCATCTGAGCCACGAGGGAAGCTCAGGCATCATAAGTATGCAAATAAAAGCTGAAGAACTGAATTCTGCCAGTCCAGTATTGAGCTAATTTGACATCATATCAAATCTATAAATTTGTAGACTTCAAAATATATCTTTGTAGCATTAGCCAGTAGCTTCCTTCCAGGGTACACAAAGCAAACGGTGCCTTCATCAGGCTTTTTCCAAGACAAACTTGTTACGTCTCACAGAATTCACAGAAGGCTGAGCTACTAATCTGCAGACACTTCCACTTGGGAAAACGGAAGCCCAGAAAGCCTTCGGCTGGCGGGTCAGAATCATATAAAATGATGATAGCTCTGAGAAACTGTTCCAAAGAGAGTAGTGGGAAGGGTCAGTATATATGTGACTCTGGAGAAGGGAGAATACAATACATGCAGTTAAGCACATATTTTTCCAGAAGGTCTCTTTCAGTCACAAGGAGCAGACATCACCATGAAGGAATTTAGTGCTTTTCTAGATGTGAGGAGATGCAAGAATTGGGGTCATAAAATCAGCTCCTGAAAGTATCTTTCCGAAGACCTGTCCTGCCAGTTTTTCCAGAGTGTCTCCTTTCTGCTGTCCACCCTGAACTCCTTTCAGGAGATGTTGAAGGTCAGAAGCTGCAGTAGCACATGATTTAATTTGTAAGAGGTAGACTGCAAGTGCCCAGGGCTTCCCTGAGGTCTCAGACCATAAAGGATATGACTGCAACGTGGGAGACCAAGGTTCAATCCCTGGGCTGGGACGATCCCCTGGAGAAGAGCATGGCAAGCTGTTCCAGTATTCTTGCCCGGAGAATCCCATGGACAGAGGAGCCTGGCGGGCTACAGTCCACGGGGTCACAAAGAGTCGGACACAACCGAGCAACTAACCACATACACATGGCGAGTGCTAATTTGTAGTTGACACTCCATTCCAACCTCTTTATTTACAGAGAGATGAAACAGACTCTGAGCGCCGCAAGCCCAGGGTCATGCAGCTCCCAGACCCTGAGGGTATGGAGATGGGGCTTTCAGGTGCTTGGGTTCCTCCTCCAAAGCACACACATGCCCACACCAACGCGTACCGGTTGCTCTGTGGTCCAGGGTTGTTTTCTTTTTCCTACATCACGCATGCATGCTAAGTGGCTTCAGTCGTGTCCGACTCTGTGTGATCCTAGGGACTGTAGCCCACCAGACTCCTCTGTCCAAGGGATTCTCAAGAATACTGGAGTCGCCATGCTCTCCTCTAGGGGATCTTCCCAACCTAGGGATCTCCAATGATGGAACTGAAAAATCAAGATCTCACTCCACCCGGGCTCCGCTTTCTCATGTGCTGTGACTCATCTCTCTGGCTATTTTTCCCCCAAAATCACTTTGCCTTTTAGGCATAAACTTCTTTTCAGCTGGTATCTTTATCTTTCTGTGGACTTCACAATACTCCCCTTGAAGAGCTAACTGGAAGAGTTCAAATAAAAGCTTAGGGAGTATTTTTTCATAGGTCTTATTTAATGGCCATGATAGAAGACACAAATGTTTATCCCAGATTTTACATAAATATACATGTATTTTACTTACATGTATTGGTGTGGTGCATATATGTGGTGGTGTTCATTCACTTGGTCGTGTCTGACTTTTTGATCCTATGGACTGTAGCCCACCAGGCTCCTCTGTCCATGGGATTCTCCGGGCAAGAATACTGGAATGGGTTGCCGTGCCCTTCTCCAGGGGATCTTCCCAACCCAGGGATCAAATTCATGTCTCNTACCACCTTCCTATCTTCTGAGCAAACTTGAAAGCAAATACATCTCGGCATTTTTCTTATCAGTTGCTTAAGTTTACAGAATTTAATTGAAAGGGTTTTGAACAAACGCCAGGCTGTCTCTCTGCTTAATGAAACCTTTTAAAAGAGCAGTTAATCTACTGCCTTGCACTTGTACCCAAGAAGTTGCTAAATTAATTTACTGACAAAGAGAATCAATCATCATAAATGGTGTTTAAACAATAGCGGGGACCCTGAAGAGTAATAAGGGGCTGGTATTGGAACAGCGTGATTTATTTTATCATCTTGTTTGTGTTGAACCAGGTTAATGGCAGAAACCTCCTTTCAGTTGACTTTGATCGAACAACAAAGACAGAGAAGATCTATGATGACCACCGTAAATTTCTCCTGAGGATCGCCTATGACACGTCCGGGCATCCGACTCTCTGGCTGCCGAGTAGCAAGCTGATGGCCGTCAATGTCACCTATTCGTCCACGGGTCAAATTGCCAGCATCCAGCGAGGAACCACCAGCGAGAAAGTCGATTATGATGGACAGGGGAGGATTGTGTCCCGGGTTTTTGCTGACGGTAAAACCTGGAGTTACACATACTTGGAAAAGGTACGCTGCACCCAGAGGGGAAACAGAGGGAAGCAATGATTGGTCTTTCCCAGCGTGCAAATTGCCCGAGCGCACTGTTGGGGTGGGCGGGGCAGGGGGGTGGGGCCACCGGTGCTTGACCGACTTCCATTTATCATTCTGAGCATCCGTATGTAACGCACAGCTATAGAGCACTGAGGAATCTGCGCCTCAGCCACGGTGTTTCTTAGTGAAGTTAGCTCTCTGAGACCCTTTTCCCTGACTTAGGCTGTAAACCACCACCACCACCGCCCACCTGCCAAGCTCATCCGTCGACAACATTCATGCATTAGACCCTGAGCTTGTAAGTCATTTGTAAATCATCTCAGCGCGAGCTTGTTCGTTTGAGAAAGCGCCTTAGAGGTTCTCACAGTTAAAGCTGTCAGGTGTGTGTCGTTCCTGGCAGAGCTTCGACATAACCGTAAAAAGCCCATAGATCCTATTTACGCATCAGTAACCAAAAGAAGCCGTTTTTTAAGCAAGCCACACTTCCGGGCCTCCAGGCCCTCTCCCCTTCCGTCTGCACTGATAGGGAACCCATGCCTGAGACAGTAACACGCTACCAGAAAAGATGCAGTTACACATGTGCAGGGCGCCAGGTTTCAGGTAGTGACTGGGCTTAAAAGGGAATGACAGCGAAAAGAGGAAAGGGGAGGACCACCTCCTTGTAATTCCTTTCTGAAAGACAGAGAATCCTGCATCTTTGTGAAACGTTTCATTCCCCTTTGAGATGAATGTTCGCCTTGGTTTTGAGTTCTGTGCCTCTCATCACTCCCAGTGCATCCTCTCCACCAGCAGCCACAGGGCTGCTGAGGCACAAGGGCAGCTCGTGAGCTCAGCCTGCCCTTCCTCGACTGCACGGAGTGACTTCTGTCCTCCACACACACACGTCCGCACTGCCGCCCCCTCACGCACCCCATCTTGCTCTCCCCCAGAGGTGCTCTGGACCAGCCTCGTGCATGTAAGTCAGCTCATCTAATTCCAGACGGACTGACGATACACGGACTCCTCTTCCTAAAGACCTGGTCAGGGAACTAAGATCGCTTGGCCAAAAATAAATTAATAAAATTAATTCCTGGACCCCCAACATTGAGAGTAGTGACCGTAATGTGACTGAAAAATCTTTAAAGGGAGCCAAGGGGCATACCATTGATAAGAGCTGCTGTCAAAATGACCCCAGCCGTAACAGAGATCACCTTCACACATCAGCAGGAATCAGAAAAGCCAGCGAGCATGTTCTCAGCATCTCTCCAAAATCCCTAAAACCCACCCAAACTATTTCCATTTCCTCGCCAGCACAGGCACCCTAAGCCAAAGTGTATTCATGGCAAAGCAAGTAATATGTTACTACCTATGTGATTCTAAGTGACTGCAAACAGGGTCCTGTAAATTCAGCAGTGGTCCAAGCCTTCCTTGGAAGAATGCAGACCATTAGCAACAAGTCTCAAGACCTTGGTCACACAGCCTGCACACAAAAATCACCCCCAGATGTGTCCATGGAGGAGATCCTGCAGAAGCCTGGGTCAGGCAAACTGCATTTGCAAAATGGTGGATGATAAAGAGGAAAAGGAGTAAGCCTCGACAAGGGGTTATGTGCTTTTATGTCAAAAGCAAAGAGTATGTCCTGGTGTAGGGGTGGAGGGGGGAGGTGGTAGAGGCGGAGGGTTAGGTTATCAGCTCCACCCAGCTTGGCCATCACTCCATTTGATCTAACAGGGTTTAGAGGGAGCCTCCCAGAGGAAAGAACTGCCCGCACTCTGCCACGGCAGAGCTACCAAACCAGCCTCCAGGCTGACTTTCTCTCCCTTGGCCTAATAAACTGTCTTTTGTCTTTCTGAAATCACTTGAAGAATGAGCCAAGCTTACTTTGATTCATATATTTATTCACCTCATAATTTAGCACCCAAGCAGTGCATAGCCCAGAAACCACCCTTACTGCACCTAAGGGACAAGTCAGATTTGGTTCTTAGGAAATTTCAGAATGCAGATTTCATTGTCATTTCAGATGTCATGTAAAGAATTTGTAAACAAAACACCACCTCTGGATCCATATTCCTAATAAGGGCATTGACAGCTCTTATTCACCAAGATTAACCTAGCCGTGTTGCTGTTGATGCTTTATGTACACACAATCCCTTTAGGGGCTAATTTTATGTCTCTTCTTTATGAAATAAATATTTTGAATGCTTTGCTCCTCCTCCAAGTGCACTGGAAATTCAAGCACGATTTGAGTGGCTCTTCCATGAAATGTTTGGGGAAAAGCCACCTTACTAAATAATTGCTAATTATGGACAGGACTGCACTTCCCATATGCTGTTTTCCCAGTGAAATATTGTCTTTGAAGCAGCTTTGCTCATGCCTGTATTATGACTTATCCAGATCCATTGACAATCTGCTGCTTGGCTGTGAACGCCTGATACAAAAAAAAAAAAAGTCCGATTCTGACAAGTAGCCCATTATGAGAGTTGAGGCACTCAGTGCAAAGCCGCTGGCAATTAAGCATCCAGGCAAATTAGGCAGGAAATCGTTAAGGACAGGGAAGGTCAAGGAGAACTCAATTAAAACGAAAATCATTTTCTCAGGCGGACTATTTTTGTGTCTTTGTGGTCACTACATCTACTTTTACCCCACCCCCACCCCCCATTCGCAAATATCAGCTAATGGCACGCTCCCTCTTTGCAGTCCATGGTGCTTCTGCTCCACAGCCAGCGGCAGTATATCTTTGAATACGATATGTGGGACCAGCTCTCTGCCATCACCATGCCCAGCGTGGCTCGCCACACCATGCAGACCATCCGCTCCATCGGCTATTACCGCAACATATACAACCCGCCGGAGAGCAACGCCTCGGTCATCACCGACTACAACGAGGAGGGGCTGCTTCTGCAGACGGCTTTCCTGGGGACCAGCAGGAGGGTCTTATTCAAGTATCGAAGGCAGACCAGGCTCTCGGAGATCTTATACGACAGCACGCGGGTCAGTTTCACCTACGATGAGACAGCGGGAGTCCTCAAGACCGTAAACCTCCAGAGCGATGGTTTCATTTGCACCATTAGATACAGGCAGATCGGCCCTCTGATTGACAGGCAGATCTTCCGCTTCAGCGAAGATGGGATGGTGAACGCGAGATTCGACTACAGCTACGACAACAGTTTTCGGGTGACCAGCATGCAGGGCGTCATCAATGAGACCCCCCTGCCCATCGACCTCTATCAGTTCGACGACATTTCGGGCAAAGTGGAGCAGTTTGGAAAATTTGGCGTCATCTATTACGATATTAACCAGATCATCTCCACGGCTGTCATGACTTACACGAAGCACTTTGATGCCCATGGCCGCATCAAGGAGATTCAGTATGAGATATTCAGGTCGCTCATGTACTGGATTACAATTCAGTATGACAACATGGGTCGGGTAACCAAGAGAGAGATTAAAATAGGGCCCTTCGCCAACACCACCAAGTACGCTTACGAGTATGACGTCGATGGACAGCTCCAGACGGTCTACCTGAATGAGAAAATCATGTGGCGTTACAACTACGACCTGAATGGCAACCTCCATTTACTGAACCCAAGTAGCAGCGCGCGGCTGACCCCGCTCCGCTACGACCTGCGAGACAGGATCACCCGGCTGGGTGACGTTCAGTACCGGTTGGATGAGGATGGCTTCCTGCGCCAGAGAGGCACCGAGATCTTCGAGTACAGCTCCAAGGGGCTTCTGACCCGAGTCTACAGTAAAGGCAGCGGCTGGACGGTGATCTATCGTTATGATGGCCTGGGGAGGCGCGTGTCCAGCAAGACCAGTCTGGGACAGCACCTGCAGTTTTTCTACGCGGACCTCACTTACCCCACCAGAATTACTCACGTCTACAACCACTCGAGTTCAGAGATCACCTCCCTCTATTACGATCTCCAAGGACATCTCTTTGCCATGGAAATCAGCAGCGGGGATGAATTCTACATCGCATCGGACAACACAGGGACGCCGCTGGCTGTTTTCAGTAGCAACGGGCTTATGCTCAAACAGATTCAGTACACTGCCTATGGTGAGATCTATTTTGACTCCAATATTGACTTCCAGCTGGTAATTGGATTTCACGGTGGCTTATATGACCCACTCACAAAATTAATCCATTTTGGAGAAAGGGATTATGACATTTTGGCAGGACGGTGGACAACGCCTGACATAGAAATCTGGAAAAGAATTGGGAAGGACCCAGCTCCCTTTAACCTGTATATGTTTAGGAATAACAACCCAGCAAGCAAAATCCATGATGTGAAAGACTACATAACAGGTAAGCAGAATTGTTTTTCCTTGCCAAGTACTGAGTTAATCGTTGAATCCAAAAAATAACTGCTGGGGGGTTTAACTTGATGCCTTCCTCCTGCAAAATCAAATGTCTTAAAAAAAAAAAATCAAATGTCTAATCTTTTCAATGAAACCAAGGAGAAACCAACAGAGGGACACTGGGACATAGTTTGTTACTTCCTGTTCTGCTGGCCAGTGCCCAAGACCACAGTTTTTCTGAAATGACATGGAATCTAGGCATGCCATTTGAAAGGAAGGGACATGGGAGGCTGAACTTGAAGCCCCCAAACTGGAGCCCCAATCTGAACGCCTCTCCAACGACAGGTCATGTGACTTTATAGACAAGTCACATGCCTTTATGAGTCTGTTTCCTTAACAATAAAATGGGGATGGCAATGCCTACTTTGTGGTATAAAATACAATAACATGCAGTTCTGCTTTTAGTAGTAGTGAAAAGAAGGGAAAGTCACTCGATGGTGTCCGGCTCTTTGTGACCCCATGGACTGTAGCCCACCAGGTTCCTCTCTCCGTGGAATTCTCCAGGCAAGAATATTGGAGTGGGTAGCCATTCCCTTCTCCGGGAAATCTTCCTGACCCAGGGACTGAACCCAGGTCTCCTGCATTGTGGGCAAATTCTTTACCGTCTGAGCCACCAGGGAAGCCCAAGCACAACTGTGGTTCTCTGTAATAATCTTCATTACTCTTTACGGAGGTAACACTGCTTTATAACATTGTATGTTTCATGTGTACGCCATCCTGTTTCTACTTCTGTGTACACTGCAGTGTACCGTCCAAAACTTACTCAACATCTGTCCCCAGAGAGCGGATGCCCTTAATCCACCTTGTCCCTCCCCGCATCTCCTGCCCCCCGGGTAGCCATACTCCGTTCTCTCCGGCATGCTTGGTTTGATCGTTTGTTTCATGGGAGTTAGGGGAGTACCCTGGGGGTCCAGTGGTTAAGACTCTACACTTTCACTGCTGGGGGCCTGGGGCTCGATCCCTGGTTGGGAAACTAAGATCCCACACTCCATGTGGTGCAGCCAAAAAAAAAAGAAGAAAATTGCTCTAGGAGTGAAATCATACAGGATTGGTCTTTCTCCCTCTGACTTACTTCACTTTGCATAATACCCTCAAGATCTACCCATGTTGTTACAAATGGCAAGGTTTCATTTTTCGCGACCAACATTCCACTGTGTGTGCATGTACATATATACATACACCGTATCTTCCTTACACATTCATCTATGGATAAGCACTTAGGTCGTTTCCTTATCTTGACTATTGTAAGAATGCTGCAGTGAACATAGGGGGCATGTATCTTTTCAAATTAGTGTTTTTGCATTTGGGGGATAACCAGCCAGAAGAGAGACCGCTGGCTCACATGGTAATTCTGTTCTTAGCTTTGTGAGGAGCCTCCATCCTGCTTTCCTTGGTGACTGCACAAGCTTACGCTCCACAGTCCACGGGGCTCCCCTTCAGCGAGCAGGGCTCTCCACTCATCCCCGGCCCCGGGGACGCTGAGACCTCCTGGTTCTACTTTGTTCCTGAGTCACACTGCCGTAATTAACCCCTTGTTTATGCTTCCTAGAGGAAGGCTGCTCCCTGTTTTCTTTTTCCGTATTTGGTTTGGTTTGGGGTTTTCCGTTTTGTTTTGCCTTGTGTTAGATGCTCTGTCTGGCTGCCTCTCCCCTTGTTCAATATTTGAAGCATGCCAGGATGTTCTGTCTTCGGTACAGCTCTCAAAATATTGTCCCCTGTTCATTTCACATCTGCTTCCCGCTTCCCCAGACTGTCTCAAGCTTCGCCTAGCTCTCTGCCACATGAACCTGCTCCAAATCCCTGCTCTCAGCGTCCTGACTCAACAACACCCAAATGGGTGTTCTCCTTCAGGCTTCCCCAGTACACATCTGCATTCACGTCCCAGTATCTGGGCAGAAATCTTCAACATGTTAAGAGCCTCTGATTTTTCACTGCTTCACAGACATTGTTCATAGTAGGAGTAGCTCTGCCCCCATTCAAAAATTTTCTCTAAAACATAAACCACACCCCCCAATCTTATGCACGTGCACGCGTGCGCGCACACACATATATCACTTTCTCTCCTATGCAATGAACTTGGGGTTTTTCTCTCTCCACCACCACCAACAGCCCTCCATTTAAAAGAGGGATGGGACGTCCCTAGTGGTTCAGCGGTTTAGAATTTGCCTCGCAGTGCAGACGACTGGTTCGATCCCTGGTCCGGGGAACCAGGATCCCACATTCCGTGGCACAACTAAGCCCTCTTGCCATAACTAGACAGCTCAGGCCACAGTGAAGGAGCTTGAGTGCCACAACTAAGACCCGACGTGGCAAAATAAATAAATTTTTTTTAATTAAAAAAAAAAGAGGGACCATACCACTGAGTTTATAGCCTATATGATGCCTGCAGAAAGGGACCTGCCAGCCTGACAGAGAGGTGCAAGCTGGTGCCCTGGAGAAAGAATCCGGGAGCATGTGGCCTCCATCATTCCAACAAGCAGTTCCCCACGGCTTATTTAAGAGGTGTTGACGGTGCTGCCTGAGAGGCTGGCAACCCACCGCTCTTGAATTCATGCTCTCCCAGCAACATGGACGCCAGGGAATGCCACAGCAGCATTTTTTGAAAAACATCAAAAGAGAGATGGAACAGCATAAAATATATTAGGTGAAATGCAATTTCAAATTTTCCAGCAATGTGCTTAATATATAAAATAATCTACACCCAACTGTACTCATAAAGCTGCAAGCCTGCTGAGTAGTTCTGTAACAGTATAACCTCCAGAATAGAATAAAAGCTTTATTCTCAGCGTAATGGCTTTTGGAGTCACATGGCAATATTTTAAAATACCATCTTAAAGGTTTCCAGCTTCTCTCCCTCAAAAGTTTGTCTTCACCTGTGCGCAGTGAGCCTTTGAAGTTAGAACTGATGGGAATCAGAACTTCTGTGCCCCCGGCCAGCTCAGCCAGCTTTTGGCATTCATCTTTGATTACGAGTTGACTGTTGATTTTCATACACTCGATGCGGGGTTTTTATTAATAGAAAATGGGTAGTGGAAACTTGCATATCCTTGGCTAGCCACTCTGGAAAGCTAATAACACAGGACTTCTAGTTAAGACCAGCCTTCACTAACTACAGATGTTATTTGTGTTCAACAACCATGTCTCTTTCACGCTGCTAGGCATTGTTATTCAACTTTTTTTTTTAACACTATTACCAGCAACGGGTTGCAACTTCCCACGTGGGACTGGGTACCCATCGGTCTAAGTGAGTCTCTATTATCCACACTGTCTGTAGCCTTCTGCTACTGAAGTTATTTTTACCGTGTCTGAAAAGAGTCAGTTTTTCATTGTAGGGCAGAGGCAAACCTGAGCTCTTTTTCAGGTTATTGTTTGTGAAGGTGGGGTTTTCAGGTAAGGCCGAAAGGTGTCGGAAATCACAGAGTAAACTCGGGAATCTCTGATTCTGGACCTTCTTTTCCCAGATGTTAACAGTTGGCTGGTGACCTTTGGATTCCATCTGCACAATGCTATTCCTGGATTCCCTGTCCCCAAATTTGATTTAACGGAGCCTTCTTACGAACTCGTGAAGAGTCAGCAGTGGGATGATATCCCGGTAAGAGACAAAAAGCGAAACTATGAAAGGTGACAAGGGGCTTGCTTGTGCTGTATGGTCCCCTGGGTACCAAAGACTTTTTTTTTTTTTTTTGATTCAGNAAAGAAAGCACCACTTCTCTCTTGCATTTCTGTTCAGCAGACCAGGGGCCTGTGAAACAGGCTTCAGTCTGCTTTTAGTGATGCTAATAAAAACAGAAAGACATTATCAAACAGTAATAAAATATGAAAGCTCATTGATGAGTGCAAGGTTTCTACAGAGAACCCCAGGAATGCACATTTACAAGATTTGGGACCTTAAGGCAAAGATACAATAAACAGGAGGGCAGGGAATTCATGTTACAAATTAGCAGCTCACAAACAATGCCACAAAGTTCCACTTCTTTAAAATGTTAGCCATGTTTTCAAGGGAAAAAGATTAAAAATAAAATGGCCTCTGGTAAAGCTCCACCTACCACTAGGTGTTTATGGAATTTTCCTGAAACAAACAGACCAGGAGGCCTGGAACCATTCTGAGAAATAAAAGGAGAAAGAATGGAAAATTGCAGAATCAAAGCTGCCATTTCACAAAATGACACTTTTTAATTCCCACCATTCAGAGATCAGAAAGGAACCCAACAACAAAATATCGGAATTTCTAGCTTAAAGCAAGAATAATTAAAGATCACGAAATTGGGCTACGCCATAATGATAAGAAGGGAGCACAGAGTTTCTTAGAAAGATTAATTTCCCCTCTTGAGCAATTTCCTATAATCTCAATGAACACAAAAAGAAAAGGCAATCCTGGCTAAAACACACATACACAGAGTTACACACAACGCCAGCACCTCTGCTTTCTGGTCCATCCACGTTTCATACTTAACATAAAAGCTATTCCTTTTTCAGATATCACCTTTACATTTAAAAGGCAAAACCCATTCAGTTTCCGGGATCTGGGAGCCATTTTAACATTTCTAATTGCAAATATACCTGCGCTGATCAACTGCCATGAAGACATCCTTAAGTTTGTTAATGCCTTTGAGCACATAATAATTGCAGATGACTTTCCAACATGTCTGAAAACACTTAAGCCATACTGTACAAATGGACTTGCCAACTTTTTTCCTAGGCAGCCTTTTCCATACAGTTCAGGTTCTCTGTCATGAGAAGTGCACCATAAGGACAGCTTAGGGAATCGCCAGCAAAGACATCAAGGATGCCTGGAGAGCAGAAAAACAAATGTGTCTTTCACCACTGCAAACGAAACACATGCTTCCAATTGGGGAAAATGCTGGCCAGACGAACATCTGGTAGTCTGAGAGATGCCTGAGTTAAGATGCCCCCAATTTAAAACCCTTGTGAATGCAGAAGGCCCACTGTCCCTCAGTCTGCGAAAAATAAATGTTTTCCTAAAGCGATAAACACTCGTTGACAGCTGTCCCCACTGTGCGCTCATCCTGGCCCATTTCAGTCCGTCAGTTATATGGTCAAATTCAGCTGAAAGCTCTGTTCACCAGGAGACAGTACAGAGTTTACCTAAATTAAAGCACATGCCTGTAAGTAAATTAAAGGCGTGTGCTTTAAAGTGGGACTTTAGCTTAAAGTGGGACTGGGTGATGCAACTGGAGCACCCCCAGGCTTTCCAACCTTCCTCTGCGTTTTGGCACTTTCTCACCAGCCTCCCATGGAGAAAGCTGCTGGAATGGACCATCTGGTAAGCTGGTTCCCCAAATGAGGTGAACCTGGGAAAAGGGCATCTAGAAATGGAAAGAGAAAAGGCAAAAACCTGAATATTTTACCCACGTTCAGGCATGCGTGCGGGCTAAGTCGCTTCAGTCTTGTAGGCGGCTTTGCCACACTTCGGACTGTAGCCTGCCAGGTTCCTCTGTCCATGGGATTCTCCAGGCAAGAACACTGGAGTGGATTCCCATGCCCTCCTTCAGGGAATCTTCCTGACACACGGATCTGAACCCATGTCTCCTGTAAATCCTGCGTTGCAAACAAATTCCTTACCACCCAGCCACCAGGGAAGCCCACTTCACCCACATCAGAAACTTAGAGCTCTTGACACAAAATATAGGATGGAGTTACCTCTTTTTACCTTTCGAAACACTTTGGGATCAACTTGAGGGGAGTGGCGTCTTGAGTGCATTCCTCCCCCCAGGGTTTTTTAAGCCTTTTCATTTCTAAAGAACCTACTGAGGTTTTAATCAGCAACGCCCCCCCCCCCCCAACTCCCCGTGTTTCATTTCTGCCCAGAACCTGAACACCGCCCAGAAGCCTGGCTCCCTGGGGCCAGAAGAGCCCAACTGTTCTCTAACCCATCCTCCGGGTCTGTTTCTCTCTGCAGCCCATTTTTGGAGTCCAGCAGAGCAAGAACACTGGAGTGGATTCCCATGCCCTCCTTCAGGGAATCTTCCTGACACACGGATCTGAACCCATGTCTCCTGTAAATCCTGCGTTGCAAGCAAATTCCTTACCACCCAGCCACCAGGGAAGCCCATTTCACCCATATCAGAAACTTAGAGCTCTTGACACAAAATATAGGATGGAGTTACCTCTTTTTACCTTTTGAAACACTTTGGGATCAACTTGAGGGGATTCCTCAAGTTGAGTGCGTCTTGAGTGCATTCCTCCCCCCAGGGTTTTTTAAGCCTTTTCATTTCTAAAGAACCTACTGAGGTTTTAATCAGCAACGCCGCCCCCCCCCCCCAACTCCCCGTGTTTCATTTCTGCCCAGAACCTGAACACCGCCTGGAAGCCTGGCTCCCTGGGGCCAGAAGAGCCCAACTGTTCTCTAACCCATCCTCCGGGTCTGTTTCTCTCTGCAGCCCATTTTTGGAGTCCAGCAGCAAGTGGCGAGGCAGGCCAAGGCCTTCCTGTCCCTGGGGAGGATGGCCGAGGTGCAGGTGAGCAGGCGCAAAGGCAGCGGCGCGCCATCGTGGCTGTGGTTCGCCACGGTGAAGTCGCTGATCGGCAAGGGCGTCATGCTGGCCGTGAGCCAGGGCCGCGTGCAGACCAACGTGCTGAACATCGCCAACGAGGACTGCATCAAGGTGGCGGCCGTGCTCAACAACGCCTTCTACCTGGAGAACCTGCACTTCACCATTGAGGGCAAGGACACGCACTACTTCATCAAGACCAGCACGCCGGAGAGCGACCTGGGTACCCTGCGGCTGACCAGCGGCCGCAAGGCGCTAGAGAACGGCATCAACGTGACCGTGTCGCAGTCCACCACCGTGGTCAACGGCAGGACTCGCAGGTTCGCCGACGTGGAGATGCAGTTCGGCGCGCTGGCCCTGCACGTGCGCTACGGCATGACCCTGGACGAGGAGAAGGCGCGCATCCTGGAGCAGGCGCGGCAGCGCGCGCTCGCCCGGGCCTGGGCGCGCGAGCAGCAGCGCGTGCGTGACGGCGAGGAGGGCGCGCGCCTCTGGACGGAAGGCGAGAAGCGGCAGCTGCTGAGCGCCGGCAAGGTGCAGGGCTACGACGGGTACTACGTACTCTCGGTGGAACAGTACCCCGAGCTGGCCGACAGCGCCAACAACATCCAGTTCCTCCGCCAGAGTGAGATCGGGAAGAGGTAACCCCCGGGCCGGCGGCAGGGAGGCGCGCGCCGCCGCCACCACCCCTGCGGGGACCCGAGCCGGCGGGGCGCCACTTGCCCCTCCAGCCCCAGCACCCCCACTACTCCCCCACCTCTGCTCAGATCTGTCTGTAGCACAATCCGAGGGGGACTCTCCGGCACCGAAGAGCCTTCCGGGAGAACTAGACTGCTATTTTAAAAAATCCACACACACAAAAATCAAATGAAAACAAAAGACTTCCTTCTGAATGACCTTAAAAGGTGATCGGCTTTAAAGAATATGTTTACATATGCATATCGCTGCACTCAGTTGGACTGAAAGTATTCCTAGAAAAAACAGATCATTAAAGAAGAGAGGCCCAAACCTTTTGCTTCTGGGCCGTCTTGTTCTCTGAGGCACTGTATCTAACGAAGGTAGAAATGCATACAGTGTTTCCAGGTATTACCGTTGTCGACCTTTGCTTACAAGAAGTAGTCTCTCTGCATAGGATGTGATATGTATCTGTTAATTTTAAAATGTGGGGCAAAGTTACTGTTTCTAGACAACCCGACTGCTTCCCCAGTGCTGGTTTGTAAAAGGACATTGGCACACGTGACTTCTGCTGCCAGGGCGGGGATTTCTAAGGAATTTCACAATGCTCATGTGGTTTGCCTTGGGGGGAAGAAAACTGGCAAATAGAATCCTTGTCACTGATAAGCAAAGGAAACCCTGATTTTTTTGTAAATTATGTGAGACAAGTTGTTTATGGATTTTTATATGAATTACAATTTACTGTACATCAGATATTAGTCTCAGAGGAGTTAATTTATGTAAAGTGTTTAAAAAGTTTATACTTAAAAAATAAAATGATAAAAACATGTGAACTGTGTGATTTTTTTAAAAGGATTGCACCTTTTGTTATCTGTTATAACTGTACAGTATAAATTATTATATTGTAGAGATATAACGACTTATGCCTATAATGTCCAGAAGTGTTAATATTTTTGTATTAGGTTGAAAAACAAACAAACAAACAAAAAAAAACGTGCAACTTTCTATCACTAGATGGATAGGACTGTGCGATTCTCCGTGGGTGGCTAATCAGAGACCTTCTCCTTTCTCTTCCTTCTCTTTTTCATCAGGCCAGTGTCCTCGACCATTATCAGCTAAGAGGCACAGTAGAAAACTAAGGCTGGTGGAATGTAACAGAAGCCACGAAACACAAACCCAAAAATACATAAAACAGGGCAGGAGGCATTGTCCCTCCCTCCGCCCCTAAAAAGTCTATGGGGGAGTTGATACCATTAACCCCAGGGTTTTCCTGTTACCTTCCTTGAAGCTTCTTTTCATGATGGAGGCGCAAGACCCCCATCAGATGCTTTGTGAGCAGGAAAGGAACTGATGTAGTTAGTCATCACCTTAAACATGTCTTAAGATCTCGGCAAGCTAGCAGAAATCGAGCAGCAGTGAGACACCCAGACAGGGAAGGTCGGGGTCACTCAGCTAGTCTCGAGTTTGGACCCTCAGGTCACAAAGAGGGACATAAAGGGGAGATCAAAAGCTCCTGTAAGCCCAGACGACCCAGCCAGCTCAGAGCTGGTTTGAATGGCAGCCTCCGCTGCGTCTCGGGGAAGCTGGGGGTGGCGGATCCGCTGGAAGTGAACTGTGAGAGCCGTGCCCTCCTGCCGCCCGCGTGCCAGCACGCCGAGCATCTGCACTTCCTTGCGGCTCAGCCGCCCTGGCACGTCTCTTTCGTGAGCACTAAATTCAGCCACAAAAATATTTTTAGAAAACCTTTCTCAGTTCATTGAGCTATAGTACACACTGTTTTCCTCTATGTATAATGGTGATAAAACATAGCAAGTGAACATGTCGTAAATATAAAGGTTCAAGTGATGTACTGAAAATTAATTTTCTAACTGCTTTGTATGTATCACGTACTCTAAATTGCACAGTAGGCGTGTTTATTAAACAGATGGGCTGGGAAAGTTTCAAAATAGCTACTGAATTTACAGTATCAGTGCTATTACTGTCTTTGTGTATTTGGTAGAGCATACCGAAGTAATTAATCTTCTAATGAATGCTGATATTTTATTAGAATGAAAGCACAGATTAGCAGTAATATTTTTTATCCTGGAAATCCTCCGGCGAGTATTATGAAGCCCCAGTTTAGACAACTCTTGAGATTTCAAACCACATAAACATGGCTCTGTTTTACATTTTATTTTCTAACTGTTAACTTAGGTGTTTGCAGTTCTGTTCCATTGCATTTCTGCAGGGCTGTATTTAGCATGCTGTAAGTACTTTTGGTTGAAATAGGCTCTGAGTCTAAATTCTCAGAAATATTTCAGATGTATTGACCATGAAAAAAGCTTGTACCACATGACAGAAGTGAAATCATACCTTACCCTCCTCTTGACATGGACTGGTCCTTCACACTGGCACCGATAAATAACAGATACGGAGTCTTCTCCTGGTGCTTATTTTAGGTGAGGTCAAATCAACCCAATTAGTGTCTTGTTAGTGGGTATAATGAGCCTATTTCTCTCTAAAAAGACTTGTGATCTGGACATGCTTTTACAAGAAATAGTGACCTTGGGGAATATGTAAACAAAAGACCTTTTTCTAAGAGTTGGGAGGGTGGGAAGGGGGCTGTATAATGAAAAGAATTAGCTTACAAAAAAGAAATTGATATTCAAAGTATTTTAGGCAAAGCCAGTCAAAATGCTTTCATGATATTTTGAGATGTAAATTTTGTCTGATTTGTATTGTTCTTTTCATTTGCCTTCTTAACTTTATATGTGACCTGAATTTTCCATAACTTGATGACTATAGATTGCATCTAGGCATTCCAATAAAAGCCAACCCAATGTGTGTGTGTTTTATATATATTTTTTAAAAATATCTTGGGCCAGCCAGGATTCCTTTTGTGTTTTGGGGGTGGAAGATGCAAATAGATGCAGTTGTCGGGGTATTGATTCGTCTGCAACCCAGTTGATCATACCTTTTATTTTCTTTTCTAATTGTGGTGTCTGCCGGCCAGACAGCCTGTTCATTAGTGTGCAATTCACAGGAAACTCTTTCCATGGCCTACTTTAGAAAAAACATTAAATGTACCCTTACAAAGCCAAACCTTATCACTGTGAAGAAGAAGGAAAAAGATGCTGCCCATTACTCCTTGAGAGCAGGCCCCGTTCCTGTGATTCTGGCAATAGTGCTTAATTAAAACACTTGATTAGAATAATCAGTTTGGGCCTGATAGTCTCCTAGCCTCCTGGAGATGTCTAAATCTACATATAGACCGCCTGATTAGGGGATGCTTAGATCAGCAGTTTCAGCCTGGCCGGCCAAGGCTTTGATTTTAGTCTGAAAAGGCAGGCTTCATCATACTTGCTTTGTAGTGACAACCTCAACCTGATAACATGTTGATCCAGGAAGAATCAGGTCACTCCACTCAGCCAAAGGGTCTATTTTTTTTTCTCCTCTTATTAGAGATTAACCCTCAAATGGGGGGGGGGGGGGGGGGGAGGCAGAAAAACACATGCGAATTGCTGCTTTCATTTTTCACATCGCTTTCCCCAGAGGTCATGTCTGAATGAATGCAGAGAAAAATATAGGTGAAAATTGTTTCTTTGTAGCAGAATTTTCTGGGCATAGGATACGCAGCTGCCGCCTCCTGTGAGATGCTCCTTCAGATGTTAACGTGGCGCACACATGACATAATCATGGGAAGTGGTTTTAAGTGTCGGACCCGCACATACATACGACGCCTGCTCTAAACACCAGTCCCCAAGCACTTTAAAGATGATGGGAGGTTTCTGTCTTTGATGCCGCCCTAACCATGCCCACCACCCTCTCTGTGGACCACCTTTTCTTTCTCCTTCTGTCTTGGCCTGCTCCCAAATGAAGCTGCTTCTCTCCCCCGCTGAGCAGGAAATCTGTTATGCGAGATGCTCTAGAAATGGGGGACTCCAAAAGAGGCAGCGGGAGGGCGCTGTCTGTGGCCAAAGCCACAGTAGCACGCTTGCCCGAGTTCAGAGGAGAAGGAGGTCCCCCTGGGCCAGAATCTGGCCCCCTGCCCGCCTGGGGCGCTATCTGCGCTCCTGCAGGGTAAAGGCAAGCCACCCACGGGGCAGCCCTGAAAGGCCATAAAGCTCTTCCCAGACCTCTGGTACCCGGATTCCACCCCACTTTCCTTCCAAGGGGGGAGCTGACTCCAGCACCTCGTGAAATGCATCAAATTCCAGAAGTGGGAGCCGGAAGACACTTAGAGACGTGTGAGTGAGTTGCCCAAGTTCACAGAAGTGGCTCAAACCCAGGTGAACAGAGATGCCCTGTCAGCTAGTAGCCCCCCACTGTATCCCACAGACTCCCAGTACTGTGTACGTGCTAAGTTGCTTCAGTTGTGTCCAACTCTTTACGACCCTACGGACCATAACCCTCCAGGCTCCTCTGTCCATGGGATTCTCCAGGCAAGAATACTGGAGGGTTGCCATGCCCTCCTCCAGGGGATCTTCTCAACTCAGGGATCAAGGCCGTGTCTCATCTCTCCTGCATCAGCAGGCGCATCTTTACCACTGGTGCCACCTGGGAAGCCCCCTGCCGGTAACACCACCCAGGAAATACGAGGGACATGCCACCACCAGGCCCTCAGGGCATGGGTCTTTCCAAAGCTGCCATAAATCAGAGTCCTGACAAGCGTTTTTCAATATATAAAGATGCCCCAGTCCCTCCGAGAGGGCACGTGTCTTGAGTTCCCCACCACATGCCCATATTTCCAGCTCCTCACCTTACCTCACCTTCAATGAGAAAGTCTGCCATGTGATGTTAATGACTTCCTCACTTCTAAAAAGATTTATCAAAGAAAGACCATCGATTTGCATACACGCACATGTTTATTTATCTACGTTTTCCCTAAGTGGTTTACAAATTCAGCTTTGGTCATCCTACCAAGGCAATGAAAAAATTAAAAATTAGTTATAAGTCATTATTACCCACTTGAAGTACAGAGTTAACGCAGAGTCCCATAGACACAGTGATAAGCCATTCGAGTTTCCTGACTTGTAATTTAAGCCACGTGACAAACATCCTGTCTCGCTAGAGTTCTCGTTTGCTATTCACCACCTCAGCAAGCATGGTCTCTTGATGTCAGTTAATTATGAATCACTTTTAGGTAAATTGAGTAAACCTTTTCATGTATGCACAGACTTAAAACTCCGTCATGGAGGAATAGAAGATTCTTAGAGTCTTGTATGTAGCAAATTTGCTATAAACGGATCCTAAGCCTAGAGTAACATCATTATTCATTTTAGAGTTAATGGGTTCCACAAAGTGAATTTAATAAATCCTTCTGGGACCTAAGCTAAGGAAAATTAAAAATTAGAAGCATAAATTGTGATTTCTGGGGCAAGGAGGTGGAGGAAAATTTCAGCCTTCCTGCTCCTAAGGTGAATCGTGAGCTGGGCCCTAACCACAGCGTTCAGCCTGCACTGGGAAGGGAAATCGCCTTCTTTTTACATGAGTGCAGAGAATTCCTGAATTCCCCCCACAACGTCTCTTTCTGTCCAGCCTAACTTGCTGCCTAGAACTGACAGGATTTACGAGCCATCCACAGGGTCACAATGAATTCTGTAAAATTTTCACATGTTAACTTTATCAGTGAGCCGTGAGGGGAGCAGAAATACCCAAGGAGTTAAAATGACACGTTCTCTGACGTGACTGAAAGGCTGAAAATGGAACAGTGGAGAATATAAGGAACACACCAAAGGCTCTGGTAGACCTGGAATTCTATCACAGAAGTGATTAACGACCACAGCGGTGAAGAAACGGCCCTACCCAAATTCTCCACAGTGAATGTGAGGGAGATTTTAGAATACCTGCTCCACAGAACATCAGGAAAACCGTCCCCAGGACTCATCCATGATGCTCTTCCAGGGAAGGCAATTTCTCTCTCTCTCCTTCTCCTCCTCCCCTTCTTTTTTCCTCTCCCCACCATTTCTCTCTCTCCCTCCCTCTCTCTCTCATTCACTGGATTTACCGTTTACCTCCTGGTAGAACCTAAGTTGCAACCACTTAGGCTGTATCTAACGAAATATCTAAGGCTTAGAAAGTGTTAGTCACTCAGTCATGTCCAACTCTGCAACCCCATGGACTGTAGCCCGCCAGCCTCCTCTGTCCATGGAATTCTCCAGGCAAGAATACTGGAGTGGGTTGCCATTCCCTTCTCCAGGGGGATCTTCCCAACCCAGGGGTTGAACCTGGGTCTCCTGCATTGCAGGCAGATTCCTTACTATCTGAGCCAGGCAGCTAAGGAAGGCTTAGAAGGAAACCCATATGTCTCCCTTTGTAAACCTGATGGACTTTAAATAATATCCCAGGACATCACATAGGAAACTAGAGTTCTTTGTCCCCAGCTTACTTACAAAAGGTTATTAACAAGCAGATTTAAAACTCTCCCCACTTCAGCTACGGCATGATTTCTAGTCTCGACGCTACAGCAAAAAGAAAGAAAAGAACAGGAGGCCCTGGGTTGGAGGGCTTATGCTCTGGGGACAAGCGTGGACACGCACCAGTGCCGAGCAGAGGCGGAGATGACGCAAGAGGAGAGGCTGGTGCAGGCGGCCCAGCTCGCAGGGACACGGCACCCTTCGCTAAGTTCACCCCCCTCTTCTCCACCCCCACCCCCCCAATCGAGGGTCGCCCGCTTGGCTTCACTTCAAAACCAGGGCTCTGGTCCTGCAGGAATGGAAAGCCACCCCAACATATGGGCAAGGACCCTTCAGCAAGAACCCCTCGTCCTCCTCCTGAAATCCTAAGGAGGGACCAGGCTAGGGAGGACTTGGGGACCCCGGGGCTCTTCCTGGACCACCCTCCAGGTGATGGCTTCTTCCCAGGTACTTTCGGAGAAGGTGTGCAGCGCCCCCTAGTGATGGGCATCACAGCGAGGACCGGGAGGGATGCGCCCCCGCGCATCCTGGGGACCGGAAACCACCAGCCCGACCCCTCTCCCGGGTGAGGCCAGCTCCAATTAGCCTCTATTTTCCCATCTTTGCTCTGCGCACGGAGTTTCACACATAAAACGATTACTTCTGCTTCACGCACCACCTCACTGAGGCCCGGTCCTCGCAAAAAATCGCTCCCGCAAGATTTCCCTTCCCGTCAAGCAGAAACTTTGTCAAACAATGTTCCTCTCGCTTCGCAGATCAAAATAAGGCCCTTCCTCCCAGGAATTGTCCGCGGGCTGTTTGAGTTTTGCAGCCCCTCGAAAACAGTGGTTTCTGAACTAGCACATTGTTTCCCTTTTACTTTTCATGTTTGAGCAGTCCTGTCGCTCTGAAGGATTTCCCAGAAGGACAGATCCTTTAAATGCAGAGTGGCGTTTTTATTTGCAAGGGAGCCAGGCTCTCGTGGAATGACAGCTGGGAAGGGTGAAGCCCTTCGGCTGAGGCCTGAGCTGGGCGCACCCCGTGCTCTTGGCCGCCCCCAGGGGGGACCGTCCACCTCCCTCACCTGCCGGCCCCACGGTGAGCGCCGGGGGAGAGAACCCAGGGTTCAACCTTCTTAGTCCCACGTTGTCCCCGCAGAGGAGCCGATGGACGCTGCCTTTACCCGGCAGCGGGGACTGGTGTCCTGGCTTCAGAAACAGTCCTCGGCTGGAGCCCACTGTCATTCCTGGAGGCCTGCGGGGACCCAGTACATAAGCAACGCTTTCTTTTCCCTCCCTAAGCGCGCGCAGACATGAGAAAGACGATTAAAGCTGGCATGTGAAAACCACAGGATCACCTTAGATAAACACCAAGACGGAGGACGGAGTTTCATATGAAAAGCCAGACGGATACGAAACTAGGAAGAGAAAGACTTTGCTGCCTGTATGG